TAGATATAGATATAGATAGATAGATAGATAGATATATATCATATATCTATCTATATACTTCTCTACTATATAGATCTATAACTCTTATATCGATATCGCTCTCTACTCTCGGCTCTGCTCTCCTCTCGCTCGCTCGCAGCTCGCTCGCTCTCTCGCTCGCTCGCTCGCCTCCTCGCTCGCTCCTCGCTCCTCTCATCTCCCATCTCTCTCTCTCTCTCTCTCTCTCTCTCATCTCTCTCTCATCGTCTTCTCCTGCTCTCTCTCTCCCTCTCTCTCTCTCTCTGCTCCCCCCCCTCTTTCGTTTTCCCTTGGTCGCGTGTCTTTGCTGTTGCCGCGTTGCTTCCTTGCCCTTCTGGACAAAATTCAATTGGCAGAACCAAATGCCAGTTACATCACCAATACACACTCCGATCACCACTGAATCAGCAAGCTGGTACAGCCAGTTTATCACCAAAATGCTTATTAGCATCAGGGGATAACATAATACACCGCGCCAGACATTTTGGCTAAAACGTCCGATCACAAATGGAAGGGCATGGGCAATCACCAAAATGAATTACATCGTAACCAAAAGCGTAGCTTGTCGCCCTCCGCAGCTTAATTGGTATCAGCCCCTAGCAATTCCAACCCCCGTGGCGGTATGGGGGTTCAAGTCACCGTGCACACGCTAGCAGAGAGTACTTATCACTAATCGAAAAACAGCAGGTGGGGCTTCCCAGTGAGTCGATCTTGGCTGCGTCTATGTGCGCTCGCTGTTTGCCTTCTGACTTGGATGGTCTGCGGCCAGCGATAGCGACTGTTCAATGTCAGGGAGATCAAAGGGCAGGGGGACCGTGCCAGACATTACGGTACATGCAACTTTTCCCACAAAGCTCCACCGTAGGATCGGAGGTTCACGATAGGAAGGCGGAGTCCTAAAGCACGCACAACAATCCTGCTTTGTGCAGCTCCGATCACAAAATCATCGAACCAAACGGTTTTAGACAATTAAAACAACGGTAAAACATTCCAACCGAGCACGTATATGTAGCGCAGCATGGATCGCAGCCAGGGCCATCGGGCGTCCGGCTCAATTAGTGACCGGGTCCATTTTAGGGCCCAGGCCCAGGGGCCCTGAAGGGATCTGTTCGGTACCAGAGCCCGTGGCTGGCCAGCCCCTTCCGTTGTCTCGTGAACTATTTCATCGTCATTTCTCCAATTTACATTCTATGTCAGGCAAGAGGACCTCGATCAACGCAAGCGGCTCTCTAACATTCAGGTCCCGTCCCGTTCCTATTGAGCAAAACGTGCGTCTGGTAGATTAGGAGCCATGGTCAACGCGGGCTTTCCAGTGAATAATTTTGTGTCTTGATACAGGAAGCCACCTTGTTTCAGGGGCCCCGGCCGACGCAGGAGGCCTTCAGTAGCAATCGCGGACACCGGCCTTGTCCATGCTTTGTAAATAAGTCCCCAGGATCCAAGCCGACTCAGAACCAACTGCTCAGCATTGGTGATCTCAGACACACATAAACACTGCAGACACACATAAACATATCTCCACTGCGTCCCCCCGCACATACATACGCTGGCTACATCCCTGGATGTGTTGGCATGTACGAAACTCAATGCTAATCAGCGACTCGCTTTCAGAACGCAACTCTGATGTGAATAACGACATCTGCATCCTAAAACATTCGAAGTTGATGTCAGTTTGGTTTAGAACATGGTCGTGTTGTTGGTGGGCTGAATATCTTAGGTTGTAGCATACATTTTTGATTTCCTACGATATCTTGATGATTTGCTTCACCCACTTGGTGGACACTCAGGCAATCTGGAAGGAAGTATTCTTTCTGGACATTTTCGTTTTGCAACTTTGTTGAACCGTCGGTGAAAGCGTCTATGTTGGTAGCAGTAATCCAATCGGTGGTGAGGCGTTTATTTTGATTGCTACTGATCCAATTGGGTGGAAATATCCATTTCGGTTAATTTTAAGTCATTTTTAGCGACGGAAACCAAAAGCGTTACCAAGAGGCGGCCGTGACAGTGCGGTGGCATGCGGCCGAAGGTCGAGTATCACCAACATATCCAGTTACGTTGTCTCATTGCAGATAGGTGGAAGACCGCCCAAATCGATAGGAGATTTTAGGTTCCCTTCTTTGAGAGATAAAATTGGGCCAAATTTGAGATGCACACATTGGGGGGGGGGATGTTTTCAGAATGTTTTACACGGTGCGATCCCTCAACCCTCATTGCAGAAGTATGCCCCTGCAGATCGTTGGAGAAAGCCGACTTTCTTTTATCGCATCCTGAAATTTTACCACCGCCCCTCGCCCGGGCCAAGTGGGACGGGAGGCGTCCCCCCCCCCTTGCCACGCGCGGTATTCTCAGAAACGCGTGGGGCAGGCCTTTCCGGTCCTCGACGGCCCCGAGCCGGCGCTGCGCTCACGCAGATGGCACATGCGGCCAAAGCCACAGCCAGCTGACGCTCGGGCTCGGTGGCTAGTCGCAGGATTGACGCTTTTCAAAATCGGTGTGGGCGAAGAGCTCAGCCCACAAGGCCTACGTAACTTACCAGAACACCTGATTTCTCCCCATATTTCAGCCCTTTAAGTTGGCTTTCCCGGCGTCAAGGATCAATGTTTTTATCATCCGACACGACCATCGCAGAAAAAAAATGACACGGCACAATGCAAAAAGTACTCTTAGGAGCCAAACCGTGTTGTCCTGACCCTAAACACAGTAGCTACCACCAGGTGCGCACCATTGTTGCAATTGCAAATAGCCAACACCTTCAGCAACCCGACCCGACGAAAAACTGATACCTCATTTCAAGCCCATGTGGCACTGCGGCTTTGTGACAACCTTATTAGTGGGTGCAATGCGCAGCAAATGTGTCCGATGTGATCGCCGAAAAAAGGTCTCGCGTATGGTTTATAGATGGTTATCCGAGGCGCAAACAGTTTTATCCTGAATGGTTTGTACAGTAGCATGTTTAATCACCAAAGCGACAGCGTGGTCGACACATGTCTTCATATGTCAAATGCGTGCACACGTGTCAGGCCTGTGCCGTTTTGATGGGTCTTACTTCCATCGTGGCTAGGATGGCAAACAAACGTGGCGCTGAGGAACCTGCCTACCCCCTGTTTGGCTCGGGATGCTCGTCCTTTCTGCAGAACCCATCAGAAGTACTCCTAAGAGACAAAACACCGACGCACGGCATTTTGTCTTCCACTGGCCGCGCGGCGTTGGTCCGAACAGCTAGTACCCGGCGGCTTTCGACATGCGCAAACGACCACAAATCAGAGTGATAATTTTCAAAATTTTGTTTTCTCAGTTGGTATGCGTGGAGAATAATTCGGGCTGCAAATTTGCCTGCGCGATTTTCGGCCTGGTGATAGGGCTGGATTAGTTCACACAGCGGCACAAACCCGACGCCATGACGTAATCCCCATTAGCCGCAGCCCCCGGTCCATCCGGAAGCCTTTAAAGGGAATGATGCATCATGCACCGATCCCCTCCCTGATGTGGCAGGCCCTCTCACCTGGGTACTTGGCCCCGTGGTGGTCGTGTCTGGTGATCTCTAACTAGCCTAGAGACTCATTGCATTGCATTTTGCAGTCTCTCTGACCGAAATTCGAGGAACCGACACTGTGGGCTGGGGTTCCTTAGAATGACCTCCCTTCGACCTTCAACCCAACGGGCTCTCCAATCAGGCCGTTGATAGTCGATCACGAAGAACTTTTAGGCACTTTGCAAACAAGGCCCCCACCACCTGCTTCTTCGCTATGAGGGCACCTTGAAATTTGGCTTCTTGTGAAATTAGCCTAGGCTCTGGGGCTCAGGGGTTTTCTGGGATCCTAGGTTTTTGAGGCTCTTTACTGGCCCCCATAATTTTGTGCCATTGAAAAAGACGCAGGTCCCCAAAATGATAGTTTTGGCATCCCTTCCCCAAGGGCCGATCAAGTATCTTGTCAGGGAGAGGCGGACACCGCGATGCCTCTGGAATTCGGTGCCTACCGCAAATGAAAGCTTTATAGTATTTCGTGGTACCCCTGGAGCGTGATGACTTAAGAGCTTGATGCCCGAGACAGATCAAGGCTTGCGAGCACTTAAGTAACCTCCCTTGGCTTTCGCAGCTTTTAGGTTTTGGGGTTCTGAAACACAATGTTGGCGTCCCCTCACCATGACTTTATGGGGGAAACTTGCATCAACCCCCACGCTCTCCACCATGTTACGCAACCATTACGTCCTAACGTCCATGACGCATTTGAGCGAAGGAGTATCTAGCTGCTTTTAGCTGTCATGTGTTTCGTTGACTTCCTTATTACCCGATCACCAAAAATAATAGTGAAAAATCCAAAATGAACATGATACCCAAATTGCATCCATTAGAACCAAAATAAAGCACTTCACTATCGATTGGATTACTGTCACCAATATGGACGCTTTCACCAACAATTTAAGGAATTCGCTACCGTAATGCCTGATTGATGCACCAAATACATGGAGCAACTGTCTGGAAAAAATACCATGGACCAGATTGGCTTGGATTCCAGCAAATAGGCGAAACAATCATCAAAATGTGGGAGGAAATCGAAATATCTTAATAGAATCTAGGATATCAAAGCCCATCAGCAAGGGCCATTATTATTATGATGAAATATACTTTAAAACAAACTGACGTGGGCTCGTGAATGTTTTGGAACTCAGACGCCATTAGCTATGACATGCTGGTTCAGTTAGTGCTGATAGGACTATTTTAGTTATATAACGTTGATTCTGGTAAACGGTTATTAATTTTGTCCCATTTTGTTGGTACTTGACTTCTGCAGATATTTCACAAATTTAGTTTATCCAATATCAAATATAACGCTATTGATTTTAAAAAAATGACTTTAAAATTTTTGAAAATAATATTCTTCTAACAAAACTTATCCCTGATGCCCAAAAATTGGAATTTTGTATTTCTGCAGATAAACACGAGAGCATGGGGACGCGCAGTTCAGCGACGCCATCTTGTCAGTTGCGCTTAGGTGTTTGTGGCGGTGATGGCGACTCAGGAAAGATGGTTCTTTCCCAAAGAAAAGTTGGCAAATACCCCAAGCAAGAAGGATGGAATAGACATAAGAAAGGAACTTTTCTACAGACAGCAGGCAGCGACTTTGATCCAAGATATGGGACAGAAGCTGATGGTGTATCCTTTTGAATGAGACCTCCGGTTGGTTGGATTTTGTATTTTTCATCTCGGCATTGCAACTTTAGGAATTGCGGTGTGATTTATGCATCTCGAAGTGGGTATGTGTATATCTGGGCAAATGAATCTGAACAATTTCTGTAGGTTGTGGCCTGCAAGGTCAGCAAGCCTGTTATGTAACTTTGACCCATTTGGTGTTGCTGAAATCTTGTTTTTGGATTTTGGCAAGAATGCATTTTTGAACTGTTACTTCTTTAGCACCAAAGTGTGGCTTTGAAATGTTGCAAATTGTAGCTGAGTGGTTTCACCCATTCAAGCCAGGTGCAGAATGAAAAGGTGCATTTGCCCAGACCTACAAACCACTGCAGATTTGGATGAGTGGTTGGTTGGGGTAGAGGTTGAGTGCAGCTTTGAACTAGGGGCAGCTTATCAAAATGTTGAGCAGGAGTGATTGAATATGGCTATTGAGATTATCACAATGCATTCAATGATACATGTTATTGTAAGGCCACCAAAAATGACCAAATCCATTGGTGAATTGTTTTAGGGAGGGTGTAAGCGATCCTGATGAAAGGTGTCCTTAGGGGGTAGTTCACTGCTGGTGTGTGCGTGCGGCACTCGGGAGCTCACCATCGTAATTATAAAAAATTTAAAGGTAAGAGCATGAATCTACCTGTATTGTGATTATCTATGATATGTCCTGCCTTAATCATGGCGAATGGTGTACAGTGGATTTATTCTAATGTTAGGTAGGAAAGTACACCCTGACCAGTTAGTTTAGCAGGTTAGGTTTTTTTGCCTCGGTTGACAGTCTGCTTTCTGGGCACTGCTGACTGCTGCTGTTTAACTGTGGTAACCAATTGGCATGTAGCAGCAGGCACATAGTAGGTGGGGATGGGACAGACTGCAAAGTTGCATGTTTCACTTGACTTACCCATCATAGCTGTGACATCATTGCAACAGGTTGAGTGTTTGGATGTTACAAATCTGAGAACTCAAAGTTTGGGGCGCAGTCATCACTTACTTCAGCGCTAGATAGCTAATAAGTTTTGAAGGAATTATGATTGGGCGCAAAATGACCACTGCAGTCGACGTGCCCGAAAACTCCAATGAATAACAGAAGGACTTATGATGTTGCAGTATGTGATGTCAGGCAGAAACACAGAATGTATTTTTCATGTAAAGATAGGTCTAAAATGCAGTCTGGTTTTGTGTAGCCTGAGTTTGTTGCACATCAGCATATAGTTTGGTGCACTGATATCACAGAGTTATCCACAACACAGTATTAATTTTTTTGCAGACAGGGAAGATGAGGCTCAGAAGATAGGTTCACTTCTGCTATAAAATGAACTGACTCACTAGAATATTATGGAAATCAATAAGTGGCAACAATGATTTCAAGCATAACCATTTTGTCCATGCACATTGGAAAACACAAGCTGTGAAAATGATGCATCACTTCAAAGAAGAACAGGCTGAACACCGGCAATATGAGTGTGATTTATGCTATTTACCAGGACAATTTATGATTAAGCTTTCTTTTAAGCCCCTGCAATTAATATTGAATAACCTAGTCTAACCACTTGATGGTTCCTGAAGCCTGATCTTTAAGTGTTTAGCAATCATTCACATCTACTTGTTCCCAGGAAAGGTTTATGACTAGGCATGCAGTTTGTTGCCTTGCTTTATTAAGATCAGGCATGTTATAGAGCTTGGCCTTTATTTCTGTGCTTTAGGTCAGCAAGAACACAGTAGGAAATTTAGAACAAATTGAACATAAATGACTGCTTCCATAGGGAATCATGAAGTTGAAGTTTTATTCATTGAAGTGGCTGCTATGTTAAGAACAAACAGAACCATATAACATGTAATACCTGAACAAAAGTTATGCTGCATATCCCAGTAAACCACCTCAGTGCCTTGGGCACAAATCCAAATGCCAGGATTTTTTATGCTGCATAGCCCAGTCCGCTTGAAACAGTAGATCTGGAAATACTCTGTTTTACATACATGACTCTGCTTCCAAACCTTAGACTTTGGAGGATGACCAAAGAACATACAATTCTCTTGGGCTACTGCAGGGGCAAGACAACATTTGAGACACATCTTAAAAACTTTGGATTATTAAGTCTTAAGTTGGGCAGAGTTATTTTTTAGTCTCAGCTTCTGGGGGGGGGGGGGGGGGGGGGGGCAGGTTTTATTGGGGCACAGGGGATGAAACAGCAAAATTCACCATAGTTTGAAAATATAGGAGTTTAGACTCTACATTCACTGTGCTTTTCATCCCTCCATAGCATAGCAGTAGGGGTAAATGGTAGCAGGTGGATCCAAATGTGACCATTAGAAAAGTCTTGGAGAATACCCATCTGGCCATCAGGTTAGCTATTGTGCCATACAGAGGAACTGGCTGCCTCATTTGGAGCATTTGCAGGCCTGCCTTAGTGAAGGATTTAGTCCAAGCCTTCTGAGTGGATGGATTTCGAGGATGAGAGCAAATGCTGAGCTGTGCTTGTGTCAGCAGTGACCCCCACCATGTGATCATAACATTCCATGTCAACTGCAGAGTTTTGTGGTAAAATTTTGAATGTGCAGCTATGCTCAATTGTCTGCCCTGACCATAAACACAGTAGCTACCACCAGGTGCTTACCATTGTTGGAATTGTAAATAGCCAACACCTTCAGCAACTTCACCCCACTGTCTGGCATGGGCGCAAAATGACCCTAGAAGTTGATGCACCCCAAAACCTCTATCATCATCATCACCACTGTCTGGCAGGGTTGATTGGAAGCTGGGTGCTTAAACCAACTGAGTTGTTGGAACAGATCACATCTCAGTCATCTCATTAGCTGACCTGCCACCTTTTGCAGATTGATGCACAGTCCACTTACAGCTGAAGCTCACCCATATGGGTGCTCCTTGATATGTGCATCTGAATGTTAATGATCTCCAACAGGGGTTTAGAACATGGCCAGGATGGATTTCTCTAGTGTTTTAATCATGCTATCTTGATGCTTTACTATGTTTGCTCTGCTATGATAAGCATGAAATACTTGACAGCAATGTGAATATCATGCATGGTTTAAAGCATGGGTAATTTGTAGGTCAAACAACATAAAGTTTGCACATCTAAGGCAGGCACATTGTTGTGTGGTAGACCTGAGATGCTTGACACACATGTGTTCTAATAGCTCATTGCCTCACAGCACCTGGCTTTTTTTCTTTGACTCATGGGGGTGGGGGTAGGTGGCTTGGCACCTCGGGTGCTTGCTACTTTCCCCTGACAGGAGTGGCCAATGACTATAAGCAGCCACTCTGAAGGTCCTGTGAAATAAGAAGACAGGACAGGCCATGCTGAGCATGACAACATGTTTAACTTATACTTGCAAAATTGTGCATAAGTAAACACATTTGACAAAGTATTGTATTGTGAGCATTTAAGCTGACTTAAGCATAACAGCTTGTATCTTTGGTTTGGCTGGAACTGAGTATGGACTTGGGGCTTAGTGCAGCACAAATATATGGGCATTAGGCTGTCACATTGCACATGCACATGCATGCATGGTGCATGTCATATTAAATATCAAATTGATTTAATTAGCACTGACTGACATTGATGCAGGCATAACCTTACAGCTATGTTAAGCATTCAATAATTGTGTTTTGTAGTGATTGGCGTGAATAGCAGATTGTTTCCTTAATGTTGTGCATCAGATCTCAGCTGTGCATCAATTCCGCCATTGTCTACATGCACCGCTTCTACATGTTCCACTCCTTCTCCAAGTTCCACCGGAATCTGATGGCTCCATGCTGTCTGTTCCTGGCATGCAAAGTTGAAGAACAGCCCAGGAAGCTAGAGCACCTGCTGAAGGTGGGCTGGAGCTGCATGAATAAAGAAGCACCACAGATGGATGTCAAGTCAGAGGTATGGATGTATATTAATGCTTCTTAAAGAGTGAATTTTATCAGCAGAAATTGATGTAGGTTGTGCCAGAATGTTCTAGAATTTAGGCTTGATGGGGATGCTTGCAAAATATCAAGCTTTAGGCAGCTTTCACTGATTAGAAAAAAGTGCACCAAAATGACTTGATTATTGGGTTATTTGATTTTCAAATGTAGTTGTCAAATGTAGTCAGTGGTCTGTTGTTATTGGAACATATATGTAGAATAGTTACGAGCTGATTTGTTTGGTTCACTTTGCAACATCAAGTAGCCAACCATAGCTACAGTCAAAGCTGGCATTTTATGGACAAGCTCAGCAGTGACTACATCATAAATTTGCAGTATTTCAAACTTCCCATTCAGCTATTCAACTTTCATTTCACAACAACTCACCTTTAGGCTTAAAGCCTGTCCAAAAGCTTGCTAAAGTAAGATGTTTTTTAAAGAATGAGTATGAAGTAATATGTAATGTGTATATTTGTAGGCTTAGCTGGTCTAACATAATCCTTTGCATTGTTCCAGAGATTCAAACAGCTGTATGACGAGCTGGTCCGGAATGAGAACATTCTCCTCGCGACCCTTGGGTTTGATTGTTCAATAGATCACCCTCATACACATGTTGTAAAATGTTGTCAACTAATCAAAGGTGAGCCATTATTAATTTGGTGTGAGGTCTTGTATTGTGAACAATTCGAGGCAGTCACATTGTTTTGTGCTGACACACATGTTTGTCAAGTGTTATGAGGTTTTTGTATTCAAATAAGGCCACAAGTAAGCACCATTGTAATGATGATCAGCTGTGTAAGTCAATTAATATTGTCATTGTGGCTTTTACCATGCCTGATTTAGGGCATCTTGCTAATTATTTCTGTCATTCTCCATTGAGAAGTTAGCAGACTATCCTAGGTAAAGTTGGGCCTGTATCTTTCCAAGTGATGTTTGTTCACATGTTTGTGTACTTTTGTTGCTTCTGCAGTGCTTTGCCCACATCACTGTTGGTGTTGGTAGCATATATTTAAAGCTTGCATTGACTAGAAATGGTAACATACATGACTTATGTTCTACTTGTTTGTCTTTTGCAGTGGTGTCTGCATATTTGTAATCAGGTAGAAGTCTTGAAACATGCTGTATGGTAAACTGGAACATGAGAAAGGTAGTAGGCAATGTTGCAAGGCAGAACACCAAAGAGGGGTCACTTTGTCACCAGTACAATGTTGTACCATTGCGGGTGGAGTGGTGACCCAGTTGGCAGCAATGCTAACTGGAGGCTCTCCATTTTCCATGGGTCGGCCGGCCGGCTGACCCGCCCCGCCTCTGGTCCGCGCGCTGCTGGCTGGTGTCTGTTGCCCGTGTGACAAACACACCCACAGCTAGCAGGGACTTGGCGCAAACCTCCTACTTCATGGCCACAAACAGGTGACTGCCTGGGGGCTAGGGCCGGGCCTGCGGGCTGACCTCGGGGGACGGGCGGGCGCCGGGCCTGCGGGCGGACCCCACGCGGTCGCTGCGGCCCGCCCGGTCTCGGCGGGCCGGGCCGCGCCCGCCGGGGGTCCGGCCGCAGCCGCTCCGGCTCATTGGCTGTAGTCGAGAGAGCTGACGTACGGTGTCTGGGTCTCTTCACACTTCATTTCCAGATTGGCAGTGGCGCTCGTTTGCCACTGACGAGTGGACATTGCGCTGCGCCGTCCCGGTGCCGTCCCGCGGGCACGGGCGCGCAGCCGCGCCGTCCTGACAGCAACCTTTCCAGGCCGACGCCGCGCGACGCCGGGCATGGCCGCCCCGCTTGCCAACGTCGAGGCGGACCCCTGTGAACCACCGTTGTCTGCCACGTGCGCCTTCTTCTCTTTTTGTTCTCCATTCTGGTTTTGTTGCCCCACTGCAGTGGCCGGACGGTAAGCGTGGGCGCGAGGTGCGTGTGCGGTGCGGCCGGGCCGGGCCCGAGCGATATGTGACGGGCGCGCTCTGTCTGGCCGGCAGTCTGCACCTGACCATGATGTGCCTGGAGTACCGGTCGACGCTGGTCGCCTGCGTCTGCATCTACCTCGTATACAAGTGGTCCGGCCACGAGGTGAGTGGCAGATCAGCTCTTGTGGCAGATCGGCTGTGGCGGCAGATCAGCTGGCCGGTTCTGGCGTCGTTTGCCGGTTCGCCGGTCCGGTGGGGTCGCGTACTTTTTCTTGCCACCCAAGTGCCGGCTTTGCGAACAAGAAACACTAAAGGGTTAGTTGACGAAGTTGCATCTGCATTACACTGCACTGCATTACTGACTCGGCTGCATTACAAACATTATAAAGCAACGTCCAATTCTCAACTTGGCTGGATGCAATTTCAACTGTTGCATCGTGTACTGGTCATGAGCAGGCTGCCCCACTCATTTTGGTATCGCCGATGACGTCAAATGCCAGCGGGGTCCGCCGCTGACCGAAACCTTTTTGTACACTTCCTGGTGGTGTGTGACGGCATATTACTTGTGTGGGGGCATAGCTGGTTTAGGAAAGATTGTAAAGTTCTAAATGCTGGTAGCTCTTACATCAGTGCGCTACTTTTCGAACGGTGATAATGCTACTGCATCTAGCGATGTCGATAGGCTGTACTGGCCCCATCTATTGATGGATGTACTACATATGCGGCCGGTTATGTTGATTGCATGACAAAAATTGACAGAGAAATGAGTAATTTTGATGAAGCATTGACAAAATGTAACTATCAGGCTTGGCTTCTAACGTTCGATGTTACCTGCTGTTCGATAGGTGTGGTGTGCGTGTGTTTTGTCAGCGTTTTTTGTTTATCTTTGGGATCAATTAAACCTATTGACGGGGAACTGAAAAAAGCTGCATGGTTTAGCCCAGCTGCCATTATATGCCGTTTGGCTGATTGGCAGATCCCGAAGTCGTCCAAGGGCAAGGACTGGTTCTGGTATGTGGACCGTGACGTCACTCTTGAGCAGCTAGAGCGCGTCAGCGAGGAGTTCCTCCTGATCTTCAACCAGTGCCCGTCCAAGCTGAAGAAGAAAATCATGAACTCGAGCAGGGCCATCAGTGATCAGGTTGGTGAAAAGGATAGTGCACATTTTAACTGATGGATGGTAGGGCTGTAGTCTACAGGCATGCACAAATATAAGCTACTTGTATTCATATAATAATCACTTTCAGATGGATGTGGTTTCAGCTCGCTTACAAAGCAGAGCTTGCGTGTACCCTGAACTTGCTGCTCAAGTTTCGTCACTTTGATTCATCAAATGGAGCTGCTTCCGGCCTTTTTGCCAGATAGCTACATGGGTGCAAGTGCTGCACATGGACGAGGGACGGCCGCCCCTGGCCAGTGTGATCATCTTTTATCAGTTTTATCAGTTTATCAGTATCAGTTTTATCAGTATCAACAGGCCTTTTCATATCGGCTCTGCCGCACGATGGACCCGCTCGAGAACTCGGACCCGGTGTCCCAGAGAACGAATTCAGCACATTTCCTTTCCGCTAGACCGCTGGGGCGAAGTTCGAAACTAGTTTTAGAAGTTAGCTCGAAGAAAGTGTTGCGAGATCTAGCGTTGCCTGTTGGACGGTTGTGCTGAGAGTGGCGTGTCTGCTGTCTGTCAGGAGGCCGAGCAGAGGAAGCGCCAGCGGACGGAGGCGCCGCCGCCGCCGCCGCCAGCCGCGCCGCCGCCGGCACCGACGCCGGCGCCGGCCGCCAGCGGGTCCGGCTGCCCGCCGGCCGCCGGCCCACCGGCCCCGGGCGCCTCCTCCTCCGCTGCCCTCTCCAGATCCGGTGAGTGGTCGCCCACGAGACGGCAGCTGTTTGGGAGAGGCACTCCAGTTTGGTGGGAGATGCAGTCTTCATTATTGCATGTCACAGGCAGTATCGATCGATTTGCGGCGCTCGAAAATCTTGTTCAGCATGAAAAGTGTCTGGAAGCAGATTTATGTGTAGACTGCAGCGGACCTCAGTCCATGGTCTTGCTAGTAAATCCCAGATATTTCGCTATGAAATATTCATATTGGAATTAGGCTCAGAATCTTCTGTTTTCCTGGACCGCTGAACAGTCATCCAGGATCAAAGACCCTTGCCTTTGGGTGCACTCGCATCAATGAATTTAGTGCTGGCAGGCATTTTCTGCTCTTGAGATATGAACTGTGGCACCTTTGACACGAGTCCAATGAAGTTTGCGTCTGAGCGACTGACTGGTATGAAAGACAAAATAACTGCACTGCGATGCAAACCGAGCTGCTGTCACTCAAGCGAAGAAAATAGTTCCGTTCAGCACATCCAGTGTGTGTTCCTATTGGGACGCCGGGACGTAGGGCGGAGATGACATCCGACTTCATTGCATTCTTCCTTGTGGGGTGGCATTGTGTTTGGCGTTCAAACCATGTGCGCGGTTACGATTCTTCACGTTTTCGTGGCAAAAAAAGGAGTTCATGCATACAAATGGAATAATCAGAAGATAGTGGCTCGTCCCACGGTTGTTAACACGTAAGTCACGTGCGACGAAATTTGCTTTGCAACGTGAAAACGACTCATCTCCCGTCATCACCTCTGCCCTTGCGAAAAAGTTATTCAATATACTCAAGTCTCGAGGGCACGAGAGTTGCCCAAATTGAGGCATCTGCCACGCAGCTGCGCGGGTATCTCTCATTACGTTGGGAGTCGTTAACGCTCCATAAATGCGGAGCAGTACTGAACAAACGTCGGTGTTCCGGAGTTGTCTAGCTAGGCAGAACTTTAGGGAAACCGCGCGATGTTGGGCAGTTGCAACGGCGAGGGTGGGGGGCAGGTTTACTCAGTATTGCCATCATCCAGCCAAGTTCTGAATACGCTTTTTGAAACCATGCGCGAGAGACCCAGATGGAGTTACTCTGTCCAAAACACGTTTGAGAATCCACGGGGGTTGAGTTTTTGAGGTTGACGTTGGGTGTTATTTTACATTCCGTCCAGGTGTGGGGGGCAAAATGTTTTCATCAAATCCGTCAAAGCATTTTTCAGGATTCCACATTGCTTAAAAGCTGGCAGATGAGTCGTCTGTCGCATGATCCAGGATGGGCTTTCACGCGGTCAAAAAGGATCGTGACGACCCTAGATGAATTCAAGATTATTTCGGTTCACACACTCACTCATTACATATTCATGTATCTTATATGAACTCGCGATGCATTTCGGAGATAACAGCGGCTGCATCATCAGGCGAAAAAAAACACGTACAGTGTATACCATGATTGTTAAACGCACACACACGACTTAAACCAAATAAAATACCGCACAAGCACATGCGCTGTCAAACGGCCCGCCACAAAATCTACGGATGTATTTCATTTTATGACAGTTTCCCAAGCATATAATGAAAGTCATGTTGTATAGTATTGGACGTTTTTTAAATGCATCAAGACTACGGGTATTGAATCAAACGTGGGGCTTCCAATTTTAGTATCCTGCCTAAGATACTAAAACTCAAAGTAAATCATTTTTATTCAGCGGATGAGCTGGCTGCATACGTTAGACCGTGTGACGATACAGAGGTTGGCAGAGATTTGCTGGCTCCCGTCAGTCTTGCATGAGCCAGAACGCTTCTCTCTGCTTCTCACCTTGCACTGGTCGGAAGATTCGGTTGTGTATTCATTCCACTGCTGACGTTTGTCTGGTTACATGCCATTCTCGCGCGATAGCGGATTGTTGTAACACGAACGCCACTGATCCCCACCGTGTCTAAAAGCGGCTATAATATCCAACGCATTGCTTGATGAATCACATTGTGAACAACATTCCACATTGGCATGTCGGTAAAGCGTGGCCAAAGTCCCTGGAAAAGGATGGTGCTCACATTCACATCATCTCGCATAAGTCTACAAGTCACTTCTGTTAACTGTGTACAGAGATCGTGTGTCCGAAAATACCAAATTTCAGCCGTTTGTTATGATCAAGACCGCATGTCGAGCTTGTCTAACAACTGTCCGGAGTCTGTCTAGCCCGAGCGTCCGAAGCTGTCGAATGATGTTGAATGTGACGCGTGTTATTGCCACTGCAGCTCCGCCGTCGGACCACGGCGGCGGGGGCCGCACGTCCCACCCACCGCACCAGTCGTCCACCAGCCAGCGCCAGGAGCTGCACAAGATCGGCCTGCGCGCTTACAAAGAGAAAAAGGAGCGTGAACACTTCAAGGCGGAGAAGAAGACCCACGGCGAACGGGACCGACGTCCGAGCCGGCCCCAGCCGCCGTCTAAACCGGAGTCGGTCCGGCCGGGCGCCGCCGGCGACGCGCCCAAGCCGCGGCCCGACGCGCTTCACAAGCCGAGCAGCGTCACCGACGTGCGCAACCTGCTCAAGGAGGTGGACAGCCGTCACAGTCTGCTGCACAGCGTGGAGCACCCGGCGCACCGCGGCGCGGAGCCGGCGCGGCCGCTGCAGAGCCGCGGCCACCCGGGCCACGCGCGGCCGCACCCGTCGGCGCCTGAGAAGGCACCGCACGGCCGGCCGGGCCAGGAGGCGGCGGCCGGCCACCCGCCGCGCCACGCGCCGGCCGGCCCCGCCGCGCCCGGCAAGCACCGGCCGGACGCCGAGCCGGTCCACAAGCCGACTCATCACCGGCGCCCGGTGCCGGCGGCCGCTGGTGCCGGCACGACATCCGGGCCGCCCCTCGCCAAACAGATGAAGTTCGAGAAGCCGCCACCTCCGCCGCCGGCCGCGCTGAAGCAGGAGAAGAAGTCGCCAGCGCCGTCCGACTTGAACGGCGTGACGCTGCCTGCTGCCGCCAAGGATCCCCTGAGCGGCGGCAGCAGCAATAACAACCTGGCGCTGACATTAAAGAGCATCAAGGAAGAATTCTTGCCGCTTGGGCACCCGCTGGTCAGTCCGCTACTCTCGCCGCTTTTCAACGAAACCTCGCCAGATCTCAGCGAAGTCATTCCAGACGTGCTGGGAAACAAGCCGTTGTTGCCCAAACCTGACCCTGAGCCACCGCTGTCTGGAGGCGGAGGCGTGTCTTTACCCCGCAGGCCGCTGTCAGGAGGCGGAAGCGTGCCAAAGATAGAAACTAGGCTCTCGCCTCTGTGCTTCACCTCACCGTCGTCTCCGAAGCCGTCTGCGCCCGTGGTCAAGCCGGAGCCGAAACCGAAGCCGTCCCCCGCCGCGCCCAATCCACCTGTCGAGGTAAAGCACAAGCCAAAGCAGCTGTCGCCGCTTAAGCTGCCGTCGAATGGAGGCGGGTCAATCTTCAGCCCGCCGCCACGTGCTGGTCACGGCCACTCGAGCGATCCGGAGCTGGTGCTGCCCAAGGTGGACGACATCCCCATCTTCAGCCCTCTGAAGGGTGGCGGCACGAGCAGCATCAAGCTGCCGCGGGCCCCGCTGCCCAGCGAGCTGCGCTCCGTCTCCATCAGCAGCCACGACAGCGACTTCGAGGTGGTAGAGCTGCGAGACCGACCTCCCGACGCTGGGGCCGAGCCGGCTGGCGCGGCGCCGAGCGCGCTGGCCGCCGACGCCGGCACCGCCGGCGCCGCCTCCGCCGCCACGGCCGCGCCGGCGCTCGCCAAGGTGGTGTCGGCGCCGTCGTCGTTGCTGAACGCGCCAATCGCGCGTGACCTGTTCGGCGACGACGCTGGCCGCGATGACCGCCACAAGCACCACAAGGAGAAGAAGAAGAAAAAGAAGGAGCACAAGGAGCATAAGGAGCACAAGCATAAGAAGGAAAAGAAGCACAAGGAGCACAAAGAGAAAAGAAAAGACAAACATAGAGACCGTGAGGAGGAGGTGTCCAAGAGGACATTCACCATATCAAAAGACAAGGTGGGCGGCTGTGAGCCGGCCCCAGCGCTGGAGCCGGGCACTGCGGGAAGCAGCCTCAAGCTAACGATCCGCCCGGTCGTCAGTCCCGTGTCTAGTCCCGGAAGCACGCTCAAGTTCCGCATCGGCAAGGACACGCGCGTGGCGCCGGCCGAGGGCTTCAAGAAGAAGCGTCGCCGCGACAGCAGCGGGTCCGATCCCGGCCAGCTGGCGGCGTCCACCCACGGCTCGTCCGGCTCCAAGCACAAGCACAAACATAAACGGCACAGAGAGGTGAGTGGCGCTGACGCCGCGCCAGCATAGCGATGGCACTGACACGAACGGATGCTTGTATTTGACCATGGCTGGATTTGGCGAAACTGTGGTGAAGAACGCATGCTATGTCTTAAACGTCGGCACGCTTTATGTTATTACCATGTTCCCATGTCATCCGTTGTCAGCGGCGCAGCCAGTCTGATGACAGATATTTTTAGAGTTTGGCGGAATAATTCGTTTTGACTTCAGTCGGTTTCAACACTATTTAATATTTCTTCCGGTCATCTGGAAGTGGTATAACATATGGTGTTCGTATAAGTAGTATCGCCATGACCGATTTCGAGCAGAATGAATTTCCAGACGAGCAATGGTTCCTTTTGACGTTACAGTTCTACTTGGGGTGACAAGTTGGTCTCATTGATTCGGAATGTATCGTTCAGTTGCTTATTGTACCACTGCCAACAAAATTAAGTGTCGCACAGTGTAGATCCGACTCCACCGCAATCAACTGTCTTAAATGTGAAAAAGGCCGTATCTGTTTATATCCGCCTGATATCGGCTGCTGCTGCTGCTGCTGCTGCTGCGGCTGCCGCTGCGGCTGCCGCTGTTGCTGTTGTGTGTGGTAGGAGATGGTCTGGGCTGGCCGCCTGTGGGCGATGGTGTGATCGTCGTCCACCTGCCGCAGGACTCGGAGTGCTCCGACAGTCAGCGCTTGTAGTGCCATCTTCTGGAGCGTCGGTCGGCCGTCACGCGCGGGCCGGCCGCCTGCTTGACAACGCTGTGATGCTTTGGTGCGCGTCCCGGCCGGCCGTGCGGCTGGCGGTTGGTGGCTGGCGGCGCCGGCACCCGAGTGCTGTGATTATGATAACGTGTAGTCTTTCGCGTCGGGCGACCAGGTGGCGTGCGGCCGGCCGACCGACCCGGCCCAGCCAGCCCGGCACGGCCTGGCGGCTGCGATGGGTGGCGCGGCGGCCACTGCACCCCCCCCCCCCCGGCCATCCGCGCACTGGGTGTAATTGCGCCGGATGCTGGCCCGCTGGTGGCGGCGAGCACGCGCGTTCACACCACTCATTGTGTACCCCATCGTGTGCTCAGTCGATTTCAGTGCCCGATAAGCCTCGCGCCTTTGAATCTTTGTATTCCCTGTGCAATGTCAGGGTTTGCGCCCTCATGTGTCTCGTGCGCGTGGGACGTTTTGTACCTACGTATATTTTGTATGTATCGTATCGTGTATCTTCGTGTGTGGATACCTGTGTCGTAATTGTGTGCTGTAGGGCTTCTCCCTGCTGGTAAATGCTATGCTGACGCGGCATTTATGCAATAAACCACAAAATCTGTCCTGTGTCAGGCCCGCGAAAACGTCGGCGCTCGACCGGGGACTTCTGACAGCCGTCTAGAGGCTGAAAGACTACACTTGCTAGCAAAGTGCACCGGAAGACCTCTGGAAATCGCTTGCTATGATGGCGGGGTAGGACGGTGGCCAGATGCTTCGCGCTGTGATCTCGGAAGGTGTAAAAGCTGGACGAATCATTCGCGGGGTAGTTTGAGCCTTGAAAAACTGCGGAAAACGTCTGAAATGGGTCTGACCGAACTTTCACCGCGAAGTCTGCGGTGTCAAATGAGCCGTGACTGACTGGGCGGGCAGGTACTGACCTGGACCGCACGCAGCCCACGCGTGCGCCGCATCTCATTTCATCTCGGTATTTTATTAAAGGCGCTTCCACGTGGTGGTCTGCGCATGGTCGTCCCAAAAACCAACAACACTTACAGCGAGATACACATACGCCACATACGCCAAGGTATGGGGCGTATTTGGCATTTGGCATTTCCATTCCGTGAGTGGGCGGGTTAAAACAGTCCAAACTTCCGCGGCGGGAGGGGTCGCGGATCTCCGCCGCGGACAGCCTGTTGAACGCGGCGGCGGCGCGGCACGTAAACTGCCGATGACTGTTAGCGTGTGGGAAGCTCACGCCACCCGACAAAGCCTGGGGCGCACGACACAACGAGCCAGTGCCGCCCGACACAGCCTCGGACGCGCGGCACGTACAGCGAACAGGGAGCCCACGCCGCCCGACACAGCCTTGGACGCGCGGCACATACAGTGAACAGGGAGCCCACGCCGCCCGACACAGCCTCGGACGCGCAGCACATACAGCGAACAGGAAGCCCACGCCGCCCGACACAGCCTCGGACGCGGGCCACATGCAGCGAGCTACGCCGTCTGACACAGCCTTGGACGCGTGGCACATGTACCGAGCGCACGCCATCCGACACAGCCTCAGACGCGCGGCACATGTAGCGAGCTCACACTGCCTGACACAGCCCGAGTTTGACGTTGAGAATATCGCGTGCTTCAGGAATAGAGCACTCGGTGCGCTGGGGGATCAGGGGCGTTCAGCGTCCTGTACAGATTCAGGCAGTCACGGTGGTGAGCATGATCCGCGATACTGCGCCAGCCGAGCGTTCCCAAAAGGGGAGAAGTGCAATCCCTGCGGCGGACAAAACGCACTAGACTGTCTGCGAAGCACATAATCCTTTGCACCTTGTCTAGGTGCTGTTCAGCAGTTCCACCACAGATCTTCACTGTGGACCTCGTGCGGGCTGCGGAGGAGGATGACATAGGTGATGCGCTCCATGGGAGCGTAATGATGACAGCGAGCTCCAGGATCTGTCATATGGCCCTGAAGACGAGTGTTCCCATTGCCCACCCGTTTTGCAGCCGATGGAGGTTTCTGAGTTCCCATTGATTTTTGGTGTCGTTTTCAGTGCTGATTTCAATTATCGGCTGTTTTAGAAGGGAACGTGACGCACGTTGTCGCGCGCCCTGGAGCGCCAGCAACTGCAGATGCCATTTGAACGTACAGGGGTCGTGACGTGAACGGGATTCGAACCCGGATCCCTTACGTGGGTCCCGAAGGCGCTAACCACTAACCACTAACCACTCGGCCATTACACTTCCCTAACTAGCGCCTTAAAAAAACGCGTGTCAAAGGCAGCTCACATTTGCGTTCGTGTTTATATTCAACATCTGACTATTGCGATCTCTTCAAACTTTTCGATGGAATGTTTTCTCTTAGTCTTACGTCGTGGATGGTTCGATACCCAGCTGGAATGTAGGTTAGGGCGTTTGGTACACGGCTAGCAACACATCTTTACAATAACGAGAGTAACGAAGGAAAAACCGACATTTAGATAGGTGGTATGCCGGCCAAAACTAGGGGAGGCAAGCACACACACACACACACATACACACACACACACACACGCACACACACACACACACACACACACACACACACACACACACACACACACACACACACACACACCACACACACACACACACACACACACCACACACACATACGGCTGCTTTGCTAACAACCCGCAAGCTCTGACCGTCGTTCGTCACATTTTATCCTGGCCAGTCCAGGATGAAGTGTATGTGCTCTCCGGTGGCTCTCCGGCATGTCCGCTGGCGCGCGAAAACCAGCTGCGCAGGTGGAGCGTACCGGAGTCAATTGAGCTCACGGCCTAGGGGCCTGTATTTGTAATAGCGCCAATGCCCCCGCC